GCTATTGGCACAGGTTAAGCAATGTCAACACTCCATTACCATACAGTCACCACTCTGTCCATTACTGTTGTAGTTGAGTGAGAAACCTCGCCATTTCAAACAGGCTAATCAACCATGCAAGGTAGGCTCACCAAACCAGTTCCAAAAGCTACGCAGTGACCAGCCACTTTATTTAGTACACCTTCCTGTATTTACACTCAATGTCCATTTTATCAGCTCCACTTACCATATAGGAGCACTTTGTAGTTCCACAGTTACAGACTGTAGTCCATCTGTTTATCTACATACTGTCCACTGTTTTTCAATGGTCAGGACCCCCACAATTCAGGAACTATTTGGGTGGTGGGTCATTCTCAGCACTGCAGTGACACTGACTTGGTGGTGGTGTCTTAGTGTGTGTTGCGCTGGTATGAGTGGATCAGACACAGCAGTGCTGCTGGAGTTTTTAAACCCCTCAGTGTCACTGCTGGACTGAGAATAGTCCACCAACCAAAAATATCCAGCCAACAGCGTCCTGTGGGCAGTGTCCTGTGACCACTGATGAAGGACTGGAGGATGACCAACACAAACTGTGGAGCAGCAGATGAGCTATCGTCTCTGACTTTACACCTACAAGGTGGACTGACGAGGTATAATAGAGTAGACAGTGAGTGGACACAGACTCCAGCAGCACTGCCGTGTCTGATCCACTCGTACCAGCACAACACACACAAATGCCATACCTGATCTAATTAATTCAATGGACTGATGATCTGGATTGTATGTGTTGTATCTGCAGAGAAACAGATGGACTACAGTCCATAACTGTAGAACTTACACCTATGTTGTAAGTACGCACATCATGTAAATCATGCACATTTTGTACTTCGCATTACAGTTTGTCTTTAATGACAAGTGCTTTGAGATGGAGACGCGTGGCTTATTGCCGTAGAGTGTGCACGCCAGTGTGCGTGCGAGTGAGAGAGAGAGAGAGAGAGAGAGAGAGACTGGATGTTATACTTGTCATTTAGAGGAGTGGGTGGTTCTACCCTGTTTAACCCTTAGGCCTTGTTGCTAGGCAACAGCTGACAGATTGCTGTGGAAATCTCTTGGAATGGGTCTCTGGAAGACAGTAAAGAAAGAGCGAGAGAGATAGAGAGGGAAGGGAGAGGGAGAGAGAAAGAGAACGAAATTGAAATGGTACAGTAACTTGGAAGAGGGACTCAAACACTAATTGTTATCAGCCTGATCTCTTCTTTCTGTGCATGTAAATGACAGTAATGACAGCACACTGTGCCTAGTGTGTGTAAAGCTTTAGGTGATGTGTGTTTTGTGAGCTCTGTGACTCACCCTTCTGGAAGCGGTGTGTGTGTGTGTGTGTTGGTTTGTTGCTACCTTCTTTGCTTCTTTCTGTTTTTTTTTTTTTCCCTGGCCTCTCAGGTCCTGCAGGCTCTTCGGGAGAAACCAACATGTGTGCACACGCATGTGTTAGATTTGTCACAAAAGACACTTACAGACTCCCAGATTTTCTCACTCGCTGTAAAGCCGTCAAAGTCATGAATAATTTGTCCAATGCTGCATATTTAATAGTAAGATGAATTATTAATGCAGGACTTTCCCTAGGATTTGAGGGCCTCTGGTATAGCAGTCTTCTTGTCTTTCCAAGTGTTGCTCATTCTCAGGCCTAGAGAGTTAGGAGTGGATGATAAGTTAAAATAAGTTAACACATCCTCTACAGGGAGCTTAAAATGGCATATTTTATTTTCTGCATATTTTAGTGCCCAGTTTCTATCAATTTGCTAGAATTTAACATATCGGGAAAACATAAATCGAAACCAAAAACCAAAACTAAATCATAGAATGTGCCATTACTTTCGCACATGCCACATTTTATGTAAAATAAACAGTAATTGTGCGTTAAAGTGTGCAGAAAGTGTGTTCTCTGTAGAGGAAGTGTTCTCTTATTTACACAAATCAACAAAACATGGAATTTGACCTGGGGCACCCAAACATTTGCACACAACTGTATGTAAATATCACAGTACACTTTTTCTGAGTAGGTATTGTCAGGATTTCTGAACAAGTGTGTAAATACTAAAAAGTCAAAGAGGTCTCAAAGGCACCAAATCCAAAAAATCCAGAAATTTTGAAAAAATAAAATATAACAAATTAAAAATTGAATGAAATATAAACACATTTCCATACATATCATTCACTCCACAGTCCGTACAGTCCATGTGTGGTTACTAAGCTGCAAAAAAGCAGCTCATTTGAATTCCAATGTCAAAATAAAACTTCATATCTCCAAAATGGTAACTTGTCAGCAGGAGGAAATAACATTTGTAACTTGTGAAGGAAGTTAACATAACAATAGTTTTTCCCATGTAGCTTTAAACAGTTTCTACCAGTCCATTCATCGTGAAGTTTCACACAGGACAGTTAAAGGTACTGTAAAACAACAAAATCGACAAAAGGGGGGATGCAAGGTTTCGTCCCAACTGCGACGATATATCCGACTGTCCAATCTACAGCAGTTTAGCCCCGCCCACTCACCTTGAACAAGCTTTTTGAATAAAATCTTCCCTGTAAACAACAAAAACAACAACCGGTGTACAGCAACTGCGTAGTAATGTATAGCTGATTGGATATCAGTCAATTATACATATATATGTATAATATGTATGTATATATGTTAGATTTTTCCTGCTATTTCTTATTAAATAATTTATGTTTGCATATAATAAATGTACTCCTAGCCTGCTTGTCCATTCTGTCCATTCCAACTTGTTCACAAACCTCAGGAAAAAAAATTAAAAATATTCTAATGCATATTGTGTATCGTGAAAACATCTTCATGCAATGGTGAACCGTGACTGTTAGTTGGGATTTCTATGTTAAGCTAACACTGGTGCACACATTTTTTTGGCTGTTTTAGATTAAACACAAACATTTGAAGCTTGTAAAGGACGTTGCATATGTCTAATTTGAAACTTGCAACATTGATTAAACATGCATTTTACCTTGTACGCAGCGGTTTTACAGCAACTCAGTAAGGTACCCTGGCAGAAAGGTGCCACCAGCAGTTTTCCATTTGTAGCGAATGACTGAAACCTTATTACACTACAGCTAATTTGCAGTCAGTGACCTATCAAGGACATCCAGAAAGCTTGGAGTGATGTTTTTTTTTTTTTACGAAATTGGTCCCATTTTGATTTAAAATTGGAAATCAAAATGGGAATTTTTAATTCCACTGTCACTTAAATCGGTAGTTTAACTATAGAGTAAGGCCTTCAGTTCAGCTCCTGAAGTCCTAACCAAAGGGAAACATAGCTTTCAACCGAAACTTAACAATTTGTATTATTGTAAAAACGTATGTTGTTCGCAGAAATTATCAGGCCTAGAAGGCCCTGAGGGTTCCCCTCTATCTTCAGGTCTTGTGGTGTTATCTTTTTGCTTTATCACCCACTTTTTCTGCTGAAAATCGCCTCCCATGTCAAATTTAAAACAATCTAAAGTGCTTTATTCTGCTGCTCCACCACATTTCAGTCTAAAGTTAACTATATTTGACATCAGTCCTTTCATAAGAAACAAAAAGAAAAAATAAATAAGTCTTGAGAAAGACCCTCAATGATGCAATCACATTGTAGCTTTGCAAAATGCAACCCACTTCCTGCTTATTTCACAATAATTCTAGCACCAAATTAGTTTTGTCCTGAGGTTAAAAGTATAGGGTGTAGAATTTTACGTTTAAATGGTAAAACATAATAACCTGCAATGATTACACGAGTCATTGACCATCATTTGTAATGAAAGCTGTTGTTGTTGTTCTTCAAGCAGCTTTTCAGCAGCCCCGCCTCGAACTGTCTCATGTTACATTTGGAAAGTACAGAAAGTAAAACAGAACGTTTTGCTTGTATGAGCACCTGGTTGAGAGTAGGTTTTTTGCAGACTTCGAAATGAACTTGCTCTGCAAATCGTGGCCTCAAAAATATGTCTCCAAAATGGTCATTTTGCAGATGAGGGCAAAAAATAAGTTATTGTAAAGAGATAATTTTGGGGTGTTTCTGTTGGTCCATTCATCATGAAATGTTCACACAGCTGCTGTGTCCAAATAATGTAGATAAAAAATTGAAAAGGTTGGTGTACAAGTTGGGATTTTTTTGTGGTGCTATATAAACTATATGTGCTTTATAGGCTTACATTGATAGACTAGCACCTTATTGTTTTTGACTATTTTTTCTGTTGGTCTAATTTAAGAAAAACATTTTAGCAGGTTGAAACTGGGTCCTCAGACTCTTTAGACCCCATCTGTCAAACACAAGGCCTGCAGCCCAAGCCAAGCCCGTGCCACAGTCCTATTCAGCCTGAGAAATGATTTTAATTTTCTATTCTTACTTACCCGCTTCACCATGAGATGCACTACAGTCCCCAGCATGCACTGCAACATAGTGTGCGTTCTGACCCCGTTCCCCCAAAACAATGTTTGGGCCAGCGGTTACACAAAAAGAAAAGATGCCTGGTGTCTGGTTCAAGCAAACAGGCAGATTAAAAAACTACCTAAAACAATTCTTTTTTTATTTAGAATTATTTTTTAATAAGTATTTAATGCATATTTTGCAGTTGCAGTTTTGGTGTATTTTGAATAAAGAAATTTACTTTAGTAAAAATGAAATAAATAAAAAGACTGGCCCACGGATTTGCAGAGGTTTTTTAATATGGCCATTTTAGTGGTTGAGTTTGACACCCCTGCTTTAGACATGAGCGCGTGAAACCTGAAGGTCATGAGCAAATAAAAGAATAAATATCTAATCAGTGTTTACAGTGAACGAGCCAAGGTCTCTGACAGGAATTTTGTGGAAATATCAAGGCTTGTTGTCCGTGAGGCTTATACAAATTTACAGAACGTCAAGCTCTTTTCTTTATCTTCTAAGAATAGCCCTCCATGCTTAGCAGCAGAGTTTGAAATGCATTGAAATGTGAAGCACATGTGTTTTCATTTATGCTTCTTTTTCTTCTTTCAGTGTGCTGTTTTGTGGTGCACAAACGCTGCCATGAGTTTGTCACTTTCTCGTGTCCAGGAGCAGACAAGGGGCCTGCATCAGATGTAAGTCTACATCTCTCTCACTCTGTCTGTGTCTGTCTGTCTCTCACTCGTGCTCTCTCTCTCTCTCTCTCTCTCTGTCTGTCCTTCCTCATAGTGAAATGCACTTCCTCTACAGATAAAAAATGTCCCCCCCCCGACTAAGCAACAAACCATACGTATCCACTAAGGATGTGTAATCTGACTAATTTAGATGTTTGAGTGTGAACGGATATTTGGTTAACCAAACAATCAAAATAATATACCCCGTCATAGTTCTTACTCATAATACACAGCCACAGTTAGCCTTAGCCCTGGTGCCAGACGGCTAAAAAAATCAGTTTAGCAATTTGCATTTGAAAACCGGTTAAAGCCTTCAGTAACGGAAGTTGCTACTTGGTGAGCTAATGGGCTAATAGCCATTTTGCGCTAATGGCTATAAACTGCTGCACTGGTGCTACAGGGCTAATAAAATTAGCAAATTAGCCTGAAGCAAGGTTTAGCGGCAGATCGAGGTACACATTTGAAATCTTAACTTAACCTTATTTAAAAATAGCCCAAGGAAGACTTTCTCATTGTAGGTTAATTCAGTAGGATTTCATGTCAGATAAAACTTGAAGTAACCAAAGTCAGATGAGCTGATAAGCTACTGCTGACGCGACAGCTTAGCATTACTTTTCTCCTCAGTGGACGAATGCGCTAACATGCTAGTTTGTCAAGGTACATTGACGACAGACAATTTTTTTTTTTATCGTACAGGTCCATAAACTGGTGCACTAGTGCTAGAAGGCTGAGAAAAACAGTAGCTTAGCAGTTATGTTATTCAGAAATAGCCAAAATAAAATTTTGTCACTGCAGGTTAATTTAGTAGGTTTTCGTGTCAGATAAAAATCTTTAAGTAAATGAGGTCAGATCAGCTATTAAGCTAACGCTGACACTACAACTTACCATAACCTTTCTCCTCAGTGGATGAATGTGCTAACCTGCTAGTGAGTTGAGGTACATTGACAAAAAGAAATATCTTTTCATTGTACACAGCCAAAAATTGTGCTAGAAAGCTAAGAAAATCAGTAACTTAGTAGTTTTATTATTCACAGCCAAAGGAAAAGGTTAATTCAGTGGGTTTTGGTGTCATATAAAGCTTGGAGTAACAGATATAGCTTTCAGATGAGCTAACTAGCTAATGAGCTAACACCACAACTCACCAGCAACCATAGATGGCAGGTTCTACACAACACTTTTGTGTATCTTCAGTGGATGAATGTGCCAACATGCTAGTTTGTCAAGTTACGGTCTAAATTCTGATTCTAGCTAACAGCAGCTAGTAACATAGCTTATATACAGTCATGCTAACTCTGCCTTCTTAATCCTTAATGAGTCTTTATTTACCTTGGATGCGCATTCGTTAAGGCATTTGTGTTTCATGGTAGCAAAGTATATATACTTACTTATCTTAAACATGAACAATACTCTGCCACACTTTACAGTGCTGTTAAAACTTGAAGGCATTTCTCTGAAGTGTTTGCCTGTATAATTTCTACCTGACTGTCTATGATGCAGTGTTTGAATACCCAAAGAGTGATTTCAGTATTCGACACCTAGAACAGTTAACCGTATTAAAGTACCTGTGCACAGGTTTGAGCAAAATACTTTGAAAAAGTATTGATTGCTGAATTTTGAATATACTGTTCTAAATTAATCCTGTTGATACATAAAAAGTAATGTATCCTGAATACATTTAGAATATGTTTACTGTTCCTCGCTGCTTCATGTAGGTATTGCGTTAATACATGTCATGAAGAATTTGCTTATGATTTAAATGAACTTCCGAAAATTCTCAACTTTATAACTGATCATCACATTCATTTGTCAGTCCACTCAAGCAGAGCTCAGTAACACTGAGATTATTAACTGATCACATTGATTTATCAGTCCACTCAGGCTTTAGCAGAACTCAGTAACATTGAAATTATTAACTGATCACATTGATTTATCAGTCTACTCAGCTTTAGCAGAGCTCAGTAACACTGAGATTAATAACTGATCATCACATTGATTTATCAGTCTACTCAGGCTTTAGCAGAGCTCAGTAACACTGAGATTAATAACTGATCATCACATTGATTCATCAGTCTACTCAGGCTTTAGCAGAGCTCAGTAACACTGAGATTAATAACTGATCACATTGATTTATCAGTCTACTCAGGCTTTAGCAGAGCTCAGTAACACTGAGATTAATAACTGATCACATTGATTTATCAGGCTACTCAGGCTTTAACAGAGCTCAGTAACACAGATTAATAACTGATCACATTGATTTGTCAGTCTACTCAGGCTTTAGTAGGAACATCAGTGTTTGCTACATGCTGTGAGCTGATTTTAAAATATTTTAAAAACATGCACTGATGGTGTTTCTTCTGAAGACAGTAGTTTTTTTGGTCCATAAGTAATCTAAAATTATTATCTTAATACTATTCTCCTAATACGTTTCTCCTAAAAATATAAAAGGTAACTGTATTCTGAATACAGCTTTTTCAAACTGTAACTTGGACTGAATATGAATTCTTAATTTCCTGTATTCTGAATATATTTTCCCAATATTTGTATTCCAACCCTGCCCATGCACACCCCTAATACACATACTTCTGTAATCCTATCTATATTATATTGCTGTGTCTATACTTAGACCTAACCACAAGTTGCTAAAAGTAGATTGATAAAGTAAAATCAATAAATAAAAGAACGTTTTGTGCTGAGGGAGAAATGTAAATGCTTATTTATTTATTATTAATTATGTATTTTCTGATTAAGTAACGATTAAAAAGTACTTACTATGTATGCAGTCTTATGCAAACATTTGCCCATGGTCAAATTTTAATGTACAGTTACAGTTTATTTCCTGAATTAAACATATTGGGGAAAAATGAAAACATAATATGTGGCCTGTGCAAAAGTTATGGCACCTTTTATGTTTTCTTTTTTCCCAGTAAGTTAAACTGAGTAAATAAATATAATGTTGTGCAGTAAAATTAGCAAATATAATATTTAAGTTTGTTCTTTGTAAACGTAATATGACTGAGGCTTTACCAATGACTGTACTATATACTTGCAGTATGATTACTACATACTGTATCCTGTAATATACGGTAGCTCCTCTATTCTTGCAACACACATGAACATACACACACATACCCACCCGCCCACACACACACACTCTCACACACACGGGGAGAGACATCTTCTCTCACTCTTTTCTCTAATGTCTATTTATATCATAGCTTCCTCCTAACATGTGAGCGCACTTGCGCTCGCCTGAACACAAAAAAGACACTTCCTGAGTGGGCTCTATCTGCGCCAGGCAGCCAATCGTATCAGTCTGCAGAGCTGTTGTCAAAATGCGCGCATGCACAGTTGCGAAGGGATCTGGGCACACAAGGCTGAGCTTGGCTCAAAACATAACGTTCATGAAAGCATTACAGTATCTCGTTTGCATAAGCAGCGCAGGCCTGACAGTTCTTGCGTGACAACAGGTCGTCGGTGAAGCGTGAGATGCTGATTGGTTGCACTTTCACAGAAGGTTTCAGTGCAGTTCTCCTTTTGATGTCCATATGATTACTGATGAAACGCTGTCACTCTCACTTATTCTCTGAAATTGTAGCTCTTATTATAACTATAGCTCATGTTCCTGATGGGGGAAGGAATTAGCTGTCGAACTTTGCCTCTTACCTTTTGAACCTGTGAGGTCAGAGGCACAATGAACACTTGTTAACAGAGTTAATGAAGTTAATGACTGAGACTGCTGAATATTTGAACTTTGATCAGCGGGCGCGTGTCCAAAAGTTCCCAACTTTTTCCTAAAGGAATTCCACCCGTCTTTCACCATTTCTTCATAATTTAATGGTTGAGATATGAAGTTATTTGATATGGTACATTATAGGGAAACTAACTGTTTCTTTGCTTTACAGTGGTGGTGATAGGAACCAGGGGTCGCAATGTCTACAACACAAATATAGCCATTTTATTTACTATACAAAACCACCAGTGAACCAACCCGTGTCTTCTGTTTTATATTTTATACTGATGATGGTAAAATAAAATAAAATAAAAAGTTTTCTTTGGGGACTGTTTTTTGCCTTACAACGCCCTCCATGTACCACTCCACCATGAATGGGCCAAAACGTTCTCAAAACTATTGTAAAACAGCATCTCAGACATCAGGAAGGATATTTGGAACCATTTCTTATAATAATTTTCTGGTTCCCTGGATTATACGGTGAGTTTATACAGTGTTAGCAATGGGGGGCACTTTGGAGTAGGTGAGGTCACTAAATAGAAGGGCTGTTTGGATACTTCATTTAGATATAGTGTTTATTTAACACAGTGATCGTAGGACGGTAGTGGATTATGCTATGCTATGAAAATGAAAAATAAAGGTTAAATAATAACAACAAAATGGGCAAAAAGAGGCACTAAAGCTCAGAGAAAAACATAAAAATGTACAATAATATAAATACAGTGCAGTAATAAAAATACTGACAATAAGAAGTGTACACAGAATCTGTTTTTGTGTTGTTAATGTTATTGTTTTTCTCATTCTGCTTCTTCTCCTCATTGTAAAGCAATAAATAATAAAAAATGGCATAAAAAATATTTAATAATAAAGAATTCTCAAAAATCAAAATAAATAATTAAGATAAAACAGTAAAATGGTCAAACAAGAAACTACAAAAACATATAAAACTATAAAACGAACATATGAAATAAAATATATAAATAGAACTTCTTATATATTAAAAACAAAATTGACAGTAAAAACAAAACATTAATCCTTTCTTTGTTGTGTGTGTGTGTATATATATATATATATATATATATATATATATATATATATATATATATATATATATTTAGTTTTTTGTTTCTTTTACATTTGAAATTAGCCTGAAGCGCATACTTAATTGAATATTATTCTAATCAGTTTTAAGCTTCCAGACACCTTACGATCAGTGCAACCATTGCTCAGTAATCGGCTGATATGAAGCGTTCTTTAGAATCGTATCTGTATTTCTATATTTATCTGTATTTGTTTGTTAAAAGTGTTTTACTGAAAAGCCAGACTGAGCACAAATTTTAACCTTGTTTGTTTGTGTGTGTGTGTGTGTTACAGGACCCCCGCAGTAAACACAAATTTAAGGTACACACATACTCCAGTCCCACGTTCTGCGACCACTGTGGATCTCTGCTGTACGGACTTATACACCAGGGGATGAAATGTGACAGTAAGTACATAAAAATAGATTCACTCACAGAGAACTGACAACTACAATTACTGAAGCCACAAATGCCATCCAGTGCAGAACCTGCATACAGTGCTCTCTAGTGGTGGATGTCATGTAATGGCAAGGAATGCTTGCATCAGGTCTGTGAAGAATATAAATGAAAAAAAGAAATAGAAATAAATATTAATAAATAAAATCTTTTTTTTTCATGTAAATGGAAATAATCAACAAAAAGTTGTAGAATCTTAAATTCTAAAACAGAGAAAACTTATGACAACTAAAATGAGGAAGAAATATTCAAAATTCTAGGCCACAATTCAAATTGAAGCAAACGCCTTAACTCATCAAAATACCAACAAATTTAGAAACGTCCAAGGTTGGTCAAGATGCTCCTAGAGCACAATAAAAAAAAAAAAAGCTCATTTGCATATTACAGTCTTCTTCAGTAATGATTTACCAAAAATATATCATGCAGCTCTAACATTTAGTAAATGTTTGGGTGCATATTTCAGATTAAACTGTAGGTTTTTCAGATCTTTTGCTGCAGATTTCTTTATCACATTGTGTTTGGCTGTGTAAATGTTTATCAGACATACATGCATTATTTCACAGAGAAATGTCATTTGTAAAACTATGTGTTTGAATGCATTTGTGTGTTTACACAGACTGCATGATGAATATTCATAAGCGATGTGTGACCAACGTTCCAAGCCTGTGTGGGACAGATCACACAGAAAGGAGAGGAAGACTGCACATCACCGCTGATATCAAAGACATCACGCTAACCGTAACCAGTGAGTGACCCACGTTACGCACACAAATTAGTTTGTAATGTTGATTCAATTAAATGGTTAAGATGTAAAGTCATTCAGAGTGGTTTGATGTGAAATGCTGTGTTCTACTTAGTTAGAATTGTTCACAGTGGTGGGCTCTAAAGGCTCCCTCAAGGAAAGCTATTGCATTAAATGGTTACAAAAACATTACCTGATAAATAAGACATTATCTAATTGTAGTTTTAAGATCAGGTTTTGTATTTTTTCAAAGCCATTAATGGTGGAGAGGTACATGCAAGGCCTTGTAAGGCTGAACAGACCTCTGAGAAAACTTTGCTATTTTACATTTTGAATATTACATATAAAAACTTATGTAAGTTCACTGGTCATTTTGGGTAGTAAATAAAATGATTATATAGTATTTGTGTTGTAGACATGGCAACTCCTGGCTCTCCTCAACACTACTAGGGTCTAAAATTTCATTTCATGCTACAACCACCCAGAATGATGTGGTTAACATTGGTGGAATTACGCAAATTATTTGCATTTTTATTATTGTTTGACCAAATTTCCCCAATGTCTGTCTTACCTGCCAATTTCTGCCATACATAGTCAGTCAGCCAAGAAATGGTTGGAATCTGAAGTTTGCTTCTTTTGCCCTGGAGCTACAAGGCTAACAAGTAATGCCACCAATTAGTATTGTGCAAACCACATACCTAAATCACCACACCTCAAACTGTGAAATGATCTGTGATAGACTTGTTTATGTGGTTTTTTGCATTGTATAAATAACTTTAACATACAGCTATCTATAAAAAAATACGCTAAATAAATCTAATTGAGATTGCTTAACATGTCTTAAATGACTACATATAGGGTCAGGGTGAAACTGTAAATTTGATTAGGCTAAACAATCTCTGTGTTTGTCTTCATGAGAAAGACTAAAAGAGCAAGTTAATTCTCAATGGTACCTTTTTTGCCCACTGACCTAGGTACCCTCAAAATCTGTTTATAGCTTCTGGGAAGGTGATGTGTTTGCAGCAAATGCTGAAATTAGTGTGTGCACTTGAGTAGTGCAACAAAAATACTGTAGGACAACATTGTACAGATTGTCAAAAGTATTGTTGTGGGAAAAAGAACAGGCATCATATTCAGCCAGGCATCATTGTTTGTATATCCAAAAAGGAAAACATTAAGGTTTAGTTTTGTGAGAATAACCCATCTGTTCTCACTTGGGAGATACTAAGTACCAACAGCTAGAAAACAAGATAAGTAATCAGCCAATTTGGCCACTTCAAGCTTGTGCTTTAATAGCTCCGTACATTTAACAAATAAAGAGAAGTACATTGCAGTTATTTATAAACTTCACGATCATGAAAGTTATAAAGGTTGAAAGTCGTTTAGTGTTGCTTAACCTTAACTTATCTTTGCTAGAGACAGTCATCCTGTTATCAGGAAATCAGTTTGAATCCAGATATGCCAAGCATGCAAAACACCATAAGTGGCCCTGTTCAATTGGATGTACATGTCTTTTGTTATCATATTTTGGTATAATTCCTATTCCTATTACTTGCTTATTCCACTGCTGGCATTCAGAGGTGGGTGTAAGGCTAGACAGGATTGTGCCATATTGCTGCAAAACTGGAGTAGCTTGGGCTTAAGTGCATGACCACAATAATTAGAGGAAGTGCTCTTAAACCTAGAGCCAGTATTAGGCCAATAACCCCAGCAGCCACTCCACCGATTGTATCATAGCTTCTCTCAAGCCCTTCCCAGCAGAGCCTGACTGATATGACCATTTAGTGGCCAATACCACATTTGAGGGGCAGCTAATATAATAGTATTTTTAAATGTTATATTTTCATCTTACACTCCAGTAACCTCAGTTAAACAGTGCTTTACAGACAAATATGAGTCAGTTCTCAATGCTTGCAATTCTTCAACTTCAGTAGAACAAAGTCAATAAATAATGTAGTGTTAAATATTATAATATTGTACTGAGATGTAGCCACTCAATTCGTTCTGGTTTATTTTGCTTATTTTTTGTGAGTTGTCTTTATAACATGTTAGTCGTAGCTAGTATTGCTGTGTATTACAGTGATCATTATACTGACCCAATTCTAAAAAAGTTAGGACAGTGTGTGAAATGCTACTAAAAACAGAAAGCAGTGATTAGTAAATTCTGTTTAACCTGTATTGAATTGTAAATGGTACAAAAACACAATATTTGATGTTTTACTCTATGAACGTCAATGTTTTTTGTAAATATAGTCCAAATTTGATGCCTCCAACACATTCCAAAAAAAGCTGGGACAGGAGCATGTTTACCAGTTGTTTACAATTTTTTTTCCATTCTTTTCTTATACAAGTCTTCAGCTGTGGAACTGTACAGTTGTCATGTTTTAGCCTAATAGTGTGACACATTCTCAATTGGAGATAGTTCTAGACTGCAGGCTAGCCAGTCTAGCACCCGCACTCTCAGATTACGTAGCTGTGGTGTTGTAACATGCAGAATGTGGCTTCGTGTTGTCATGTTGAAATAAGCATGGATATCCCTAAAAAATGGTGGCTAAAAGGCAGCATATGTTGCCCCACAATGTGTATATATCTTTTAGCATTAATGCTGCTTTCACAGATATGCAGGTTACCCACTAATACCATGACAGACTCTGGCTTTTGAACTTTATGCTGGTAACAATCTGGATGGTTTTCTTCTTTGGGATGACAATGCCCATTATTTCCATGAATATTCTGAAAGTTTGACTGATCAGACCACAATACACATTTCCGCTATGAATCAGTCCCTTTCAGATGAGCTCAAGCCCAGAGAAGCCGGCGGCGTTTCTGGACATTGTTGGCATATGACTTCCAAGACGCATAGTACAGTCTTAACTTGCATCTGTGGATGCAGCGTCAGACGGTGTTTATTGACAACAGTTTTTCAAAGTATTCTTGAGCCCATGTGGTGATATCCATCACCAGTTGATGCAGTTTTGGCAAAGTGGTGAGCCATGGCCAATCCTTGCTCACAAAAGCCTCTACTTTTTCTTGACGTTTAAGATGTTTTTTGAACATTTCATAAGTCTTAAACTGCCCTTTGTCCTAACATTTTTGGAACATGTTGCATGAATCAATTTCAGAATTAGTGTATATTTACAAAAAAAAACCCACAAAATTGATCAGATAAAACTTTAAATATCTAGTCTTGGTTCTAATGTTGTTCAAATACCAATTTTGTTCAAATGCTTTCTGTTTTTATTTTTATTTTACCAACTGTTTGTTCATAGAATTAGTTGTGTATTTTTAATATTAGCAGTAATAGTAAATTTCAATCTATAAGAAACCCACTAATATGATTACCAATAAATTTAGCTTGTCTGCAATAATACTTAAAAGGCAAGAAAGCAAAGGCACATGCAGCCAGTCTTACTAGCTACTAACATGTCAGAATATAAAGAGCAAACACTTCAGTTGAAGTAGAACTGTGGTGTGATTTTTCCTTGTATAAATAGTAGCTGAAGGCCAATCAGATTTCCTTATTAGGGTTTCTTATGCAGCATTTTGCATAAACGTTGAAGAAACTGTGAGGGGGAAAACCCAAATGAAGTATTTAAATATACTGTCAGTATATAAGATGAAACTTTTGAGTACAGTACTGCACAGTACCTTATGTTGTAGTTTAGGTAGACCAGACATTCATTTACGTGGAGAATTTTCAGTGGTAGAAACACTTTGAAGCAGTGCATCAAATCAATTCAATTCAGAAGTTAATAGGAGTGATTTAAAGGCTTTGGCTTGCATGCATGTGTGAATTTGTGAAGCTAACAATGTGTTCTAAATGAAAGTGTGCTTTACAGAGCTATTTTAGCCTGGGGTGGAAACAGACTCCTCTGAAAAATGCATCATGAGATCAATTAGCCAACGATCGCCCCACATCTTTCACTCTTTTCCTCTCACACTCCCACACACACACGTCAATCACGCGCACATCAATCACACGCCTGTTCAATGGATGGTGGTCTCTTCATGCACATTCTTAGGAAATATATGTGGTATATTCACGCAAACATGGCAAACACTGGGACCCGACTTGGAAAAATTAAAATGACTGAAATGTTTTCCCTCTTTATATATATACAGACAGTGATGGCTGGTTGAATAAGTAAAAAATATATATAAATAAATATATATAAATATATTTTACAATTTGTTCTCATTACCATAACACATTTTACAGCCAGTGTAGGTTTTCTTTTTACTTAACAAAACATTTTATCATTTCAGTTCACATACTTACAGTTTATGAGGAAAACATTAAAGTAAATAGTTTCAGTTAAAAGTAAAACAAATTAATTAAAAATGTGGATATCATTTTTAGGAAACAGATATGTGGACGCATTGCGGTAATGAGTATTCCGATTTTAAAAACTAATAATATATAGAGCTCCAATTGATCCACTAAATGATGTGAATATTGATTATCTGCATGATGCTTATGACTGTCAAATATTTATGGACATGCTTTGAGGCAGTTTAAAGCGAATGATCCATCTACTTATTAAATATTGACCATTATGGGTCGATGCGTAGACCACAAACATCACCACAAACATGGCCTCCTTTGGTTTGTTGGGAATGGAATTAGCCATCGCTAAGAAAACTGAAATTGCTAAACATCCTTAGCTAATCTTTATGGAAAACCATAAGAAAGAAAACCACCAATTTACTATATATAGGGCCATATTAAGAAGTTCTTGGTGATTTTTTTTTTTATGGCTGCAGTATTTTCACCTGTCATAGACAAGAGCCAATCAACACTGATGTGTAAATTAAGTCATACATGTTAAAGATAAGCCAAGTGAAGCGCCGGTTGGCTGACAAATGAACATGGTTAAAGAAATCAGAACAAAGAAAATCAAAATTCTCCAAACCAGAGCTACAGATTTTTTTATGAAAAGCTCAGGCAAAAATTCATCAATGAATTTGATATGATGCTTGTAAATTTTAATCAAGAAACAAAGGTTCTTCATCAGAAAATGCTGATACTAAAAATGACATATAAAAAAAAAAACAAATTACACATTTCTAAATTCCAAATTTTTATTATGGGAATTATATTTTAGCATATAAGATGCAGTTTCTCATATGATTGATATAATTATTTTATATCATTTAAGCCTTTTCTCAATAGGAGGAATTTGATTTGCACTTTAAACGTAAAATTGTTAGTAAATATCAAATTGCAAATAGTAAAAACTCAGTTTTAACTGGTAAGAAATTAATTTTTACTAGAATATATATCACTTTCATGTGAGTAAATTGAATTCCTTTGTAAAATTGATCATAATTGAAAAATAAGTTTAGGAGCTATAACTGCTTGTACTAACGTCAGTTCAAACATGTAATTAGAATTTTAACATGTCAAAGTACTTACGTGTAAAAGAAAAAAACCTGAATTATTTAATTGGTTTTAAATTGATTTTAGTAGCATGTTCTAATTTGAGTGACGAAATTCCAAATTAAAAATAAAAACACGAAAATATAGAAATCATAATAACCCTGGTTCTGATTTTGTAACAGCAACAATGTACAGTTGTTTACAAAAGTTAGAATGTTCCCAGTCATATTACGCTGTTGATTTTTTAAAGTACAAATAAATTCATATGTACTCTACAGAGAATGCACTTAAATATGCATTTTTTGGGCTATTTTTATGCACAATTTCTATTTATTTGATGAGTTTAACATGTTGGGTGGAAAAATATTAAAAAACTGTGCTATAATTTTTGCACATATTTTTTTTCCCACCAGTATATTTTTCCCGCCAGTTAAATCCTGCAAATAAACAGAATAAATAAAAAAACAAGATTTGTAGTGTGTGTGTATATATATATATATATATATATATATATATATATGTATATATATATATATATATATATATATATATATATATATATATATATATATATATAGAGAGAGAGAGAGAGAGAGAGAGAGATAGTGTATAATATCGTTGCAGCTATCATATATCAATATTCACCATTTATCATTGTTTTTATATTACTTACACTTCTCTCTTTTTCTGTTCTTTTTTTTTTATGTTTTTATCTTTCTGGTAACAGTCAAGGAGGCTCGGAATTTGGTGCCCATGGACCCTAATGGCTTGTCGGACCCCTACGTGAAGCTCAAACTGATTCCTGACCCCAAGAGCGAGAGCAAGCAGAAGACCAAAACCATCAAGTGCTCCCTCAATCCCACATGGAACGAAACCTTCACTTTGTATGTTAAAAAATAAAACTACAATAAAAAAGTATCAAATATTTCAACCCCTCATGCACATTAGTTTGAATGCACGTTTTTGCGTGTGTGTGTTTCTTGTAGCAAACTGCGGGAATCAGATAAGGGCCGGCGTCTGTCCGTGGAGGTGTGGGATTGGGATCTGACCAGCAGGAACGACTTCATGGGCTCTCTCTCTTTTGGTATCTCTGAGCTTCAGAAAAATGGGGTCAGTGGCTGGTAAGAGCTGCTAAGGAGACGTTTAAAATGATACAAGACACATTTCAGTCATACAGAGACCCATGAGAGTCACATCAACTGCACCTAAACTGTGTGTGTGTTATAGGTATAAGCTGTTGGGACAAGAAGAAGGAGAATATTTTAACGTTCCGGTTCAGCCAGATGGCGAGGAAGGCAATGAAGAACTACGGCAGAAGTTTGAGGTTAATTTCCATTGCGTGTGTTTCATTGCAATTTTACATTATATAAAGTTGATGAATGAATACTGTAAAAATATCTGCCTATGGCATATGTCTTGCAGATGAGCAAAAAAAGATGAGGGTTGAGGTTACGATTAGGGTTTTGGCCAGGGTTAAGTTTAGGCTTTGGGTTAGGGTTAAGGTTAACAGGGTTCAGGCCATGTTTAGGGTTAGGTTCGGGTTAAGTTTAAGAGTAGCGTTTGGGCCAGAGATAGGATTACGTTTAGATTTTGGGTTGAGGGTTAGGTTTAGGTTTTGGATTGAGGTTAGGGGTTAGAGCTTGAGCCAGGGTTCAGTTCAGGATTAGGGTTAAGGTTAGGGTTTAGACCAGGGTTAGGGTTAGGTTTGGGTTGAAATTTAAGAGTAGGGTTTGGACCAGTTTCCTATCCTAGTGTTACCTTCCTTTTGACAACTCTCTCTTTCCCTTTTCAGAGGGCCAGGATTGGTCCAGGCAGTAAGAATACAGACAGCTCATCATCCAATGATATCTCCAAATATGATGCCAACGGCAACCAGGATAGAGTGAAACTTTCCGATTTCAACTTTGTCATGGTGCTTGGAAAAGGAAGCTTTGGCAAGGTAATACACAATTGTAATAAATATTCTCGATGCTATTTGGAACTAGTATCATCTGCTAACTTGGACAGGAATTACAATCCTATGTAAAAAGTTTGAACACTCTGATCAAATTGCATGTTTTCTTGATTTTCTGAGTGAAATAAGTTATTAACTTACCCTCTACAGGGAACTGGAAGATGTGGCAGTTCCTGCAAATTTTAGTGCACATATTTTATTTAGTTAATGTGTTTAAAATATAGAAAAACATTAAACATAAAGGACCAGGTTCACTAAGAGGGGCGCTAATTACCAACAGTCTACTAACACTTTGCGCAAGTGGGGGTGGCTAATAGCTGCATATCTACTAAGAACTTTCATGCAAATGAACACAGGTGCAAATTCGTAATTAACATATGACATTCAACTGTAGTTTGTGGGAAAAAATGCCCAGTGGGTTTATTTGCTTGAAAGATTTTAAGGTGACTCAAATATAAAAATTCAGTAGCTGGAAGGGGTAAAAAAAAGTCCCTGCAGGTGAAAACATTTTAAAAGGGACGTGTGCTTTAAAAAAAAAACAAAAAACACTGTACTACCCATTCATATCTGCTTGTCAGCTCATTTGCCTACAGTGATGAGAGAATGAGAGAGCAGAGTGAGCAGGTGACGTGTCAGTTATTTGAGGATATTCTGGTCTGTTGTCACATTATAGCATGTTATGACAGACCGTGTTTGATGTAATTCAGAAATTCAAATGGGGGGGTTACATTTTAGTGTCCTCATGCCGTTTTTCCCTCCTTACACTATCACCATGGCAGCATCTACACAGCTGCACGGGTCCATGTTCCACTGGAGCTTAGCTGAGCTGCACTGGTTCCTACTTATACTTACAAAACCAATTCCAAAAAAAAGTTGGGACAGTATGTGAAATGCAAATTAAAAATAGAAAGCAGTGATTGGGAAATGTGTTTAAATAAAAACAGCACAAATACAGATATTTAATGTTTTATCTTACTAGCTTTTTTGTCTCATTCTGAAATTGATGCCTGTATCACATTCCAAAAGCACTATTAACACCGAACACATTTTGAAACAACATTTGCTGCCTTTTAGACGCCGTCTTTTTCAGGGACGTCCATGATTATTTCAGCATGACAACAAGAAGCCACATCAAGCATGTGTTACAAAAGCATGTGTATTCAGGGAGTGTAGTCCAGACCAGTCTCTCACTGAAAATGTGTACATTATGAAGCTCAAAGTTCCCAAAATTCAGCAACCCCTACCTTGGAACACCTTCCTACATCCCTGACTTGGCTAATAGAACTGGGCCAAAATGTCTTATATTAAGTCTTAATAAAGTCTTCTTACATTAAAGTGAAGAAATGTTTTTTCTTCTTCTGTAAAGTTACAGTTTGGGAGGTACAAGGTTTTGCTAGAACAGTGACGAGATACTGCATTGCCTTATATGGAATGTCTGTGCGCCTCTGTAGGTGATGCTGGCAGAGCGTAAGGGAACAGATGAGCTGTATGCAGTGAAGATCCTGAAGAAGGACGTGGTGATTCAGGATGACGACGTGGAGTGCACAATGGTGGAAAAGAGGGTTCTCGCGCTCTCGGGAAAACCTCCGTTCCTCACCCAGCTGCACTCCTGCTTTCAGACTATGGTACACAGCATGCGCACACACACACTCACCCGCCTACACACTTTTATTTAAATACCAAGAAGTACTTCTGCTTTCAGGTCACAAATCACACATACACGCACATTCACCATATGCCGTCTGCAGGTTTATTCACATCCTCATTTACCGTATCTAGTATCACTGATTTTCTTGCTCAGGTTTCCTGTGTGTGTGTGTGTGTGTGTGTGTTGGTGCAGGACCGCCTGTATTTTGTGATGGAGTACATTAACGGAGGGGACCTGATGTACCAGATACAGCAAGTGGGGAAATTTAAGGAGCCTCATGCTGTGTAAGTGCACACACCGGTCTTGAAGACACGCAGCAGGCGATTTTGAATGTTCAACACTTGTGTCGCCATGGTGTAAATCTGCAATACAGCACTGTGCAAAAGTCAGAGACCTCCCCTTATTTATTTAATGTCCAGTTAAAACAGACATTAAGTTACGTTTTTCAGCATCAGCAAAATCAGAACGCAGACTTAAGAGAAAACTACAACAGAGGCCTGAACAACCTAACAATACAAATGCCCACCCTTTGCTTTTATTACAGCTTCTGGTCAAGACCACTGGAAGTGAGTCTGAGTCGAGACCAAGACCTGGACACACCAAGTCCAAGTCACGACCAAAGCTGCATACAAAAACCACAAACTACCACATAATAGCACTATATTACTACGTTAGTTAAGTAAGGGCTGGGGCAGCTTACTGGATACAGGGTGGAACTAGACTCTGCAGGAAGGCAGCCCTCCAGGACCACACTCTCAGTCTTTAGTAAAAAGAACACTTTGCATGATTAAAGGGTTCTTTGCATCATGAAAGTGCTCTTCAGATTGATGGAGAATGTGCTGTAGATGGTTCTTTACAGAACCTTTTAAAAAAAGGGTTCTATATAGCACCCAAAAGGTGCCCCTTTGAAAAACCCTTTTCAAAAAGGCTCTATATAGAACCATGAACACTAAAAAGAACGCTTTGCATGATTAAAGGGTTCTTTGCATGTTAAAAGCATTCTTCAGATTGATGCATAATGTGCTGTAGATGGTTCTATATAGAACCTTTAAAAAAAAAAAAGTTCTATATAGTACCCAAAAGGGTCCTTCCAATTTTACAAGCTTGACATCGTAGCAATAGAAGAACCTTTTTGGTGCTATAGAGAACCCTTTTCAAAAATGTTCTATATAGAACCATGAACAATAAAAAGAACGCTTTGCATGATTAAAGTGTTAAAAGGGTTCTTCAGATTGATATAAAATGTGTAAAATGTAAAATGTGCTGTAAATGGTTCTGTATAGAACCATTTTGAAAAGGGTTCTATATAACACCAAAAAGGGATCTTCTATTGTTACCAGCTTGACATTGTAGCAATACAAGAATCATTTTGGGTGCTATATTCAGCCCTTTTCAAAAAAAGCTCTATACAGAACCATGAACACAAAAAAGAATGCTTTGCATGATTAAAGGGTTCTTTGCATCGTAAAAGCGTTCTTCAGACTGATGAATAATGTGCTGTAGATGGTTCTATATAGAACCTTTTTAAAAAGGGTTCTATATAGCACCCAAAAGGGTCCTTCCAATTTTACAAGCTTGACATTGTAGCAATAAAAGAACCATTTTTGATGCTATATTGAGCCCTTTTCCAAAAAGGTTCTATATAGAACCATAAGTTACATATTTTCCATCAATCTGAAGAACGCTTTCACAATGCAAAGAACCATTTAATTATGCAAAGGGTTATTTGATTGTTGAAGGTTCTTTACAGAACTATTTTCTTCACTAAGAACCCTTGAAGAACCATCTTTAAGTGAGCAGGGTTGGAGAACACTGCTTTAAGTGCTGTTTATCTGATGGGGACAGTTTTGGTATCTATCAGGTTTTCCAGGTGGTTGCTAGGAATCCCATTTTCTCTGTAGCTTTTAATCATTTTTTGACCTCCAGTTGTGGAAGGTCTCTGACTTTGGCACAGTAACGTCATTATAGTGAGTAGTTCTCATCACCATGGCACTAAAAGAATACACAATTTGATTCTAATTTGAAGGGTATCTCTGAATAGACACTAGAAAGCACTGTCTGTAATAAACGACCATTTTGCTTTGCGTCCACTGAACATTTTCACAAACAAATGCCTTTGACAATCTGGACATTCTTGTCTGTATTGAGTGTTGTTGAAACATTTTTTCTTCAGCCAATTAGACGTCCATTTCTAACCACTTCCCTACATAACAAACTGAAAGAAATGTACTGACATGATCACAGTGTTTGTCTCTGTTTGTTGTGGATGCAGGTTCTATGCTGCAGAGATTGCTATTGGTCTATTTTTCCTCCATTCGAAAGGCATCATTTACAGGTGAGAAACCTTCTGTCTTTGTACGAATAGATACTGATATTGTACATTAGAAACATTCTGGGAGCTTCTAATGAAGGTTTTTAAGCACCTTTTCTACAAATATTGTCTATAGAACCTGTAATGTTCCAATATACAGTCATGTGCAAATGTTTTGGCACCCCTAGTCACGTACACATCCTCTACCTAAAACACACTTCTGCACATTTTACTGCACAATTGCTGTTTAGCTGCTAAAGTTAACACTATGGAAAAAGGGTTCTTTGCATAGTGAAATGGAGAACGTGCTGTAGATGGTTCTATATAGAATCTTTTTTAAATGGATTCTATGTAGCACCAAAAAGGGTTGTGCTGGTACAAGTGGATCAGACACAGCAGTGCTGCTGGAGTTTTTAAACACTGTGTCCACTCACTGTCCACTCTATTAGACACTCCTACCTTTTCAGTCCACCTTGTAGATGTAAAGTCAGAGATGATAGCTCATCTGCTGCTGCACAGTTTGTGTTGGTCATCCTCTAGTCCTTCATCAGTGGTCACAGGACGCTGTTGGCTGGATATTTTCGGTTGGTGGACTATTCTCAGTCCAGCAGTGACACTGAGGTGTTTAAAAACTCCAGCAGCACTGCTGTGTCTGATCCACTCAGACCAGCGCAACACACACTAACACACCACCATGTCGGTGTTACTGCAGTGCTGAGAATGATCCACCACCCAAGTAATACCTGCTCTGTGAGAGTCCATGGGGGTCCTGACCACTGAAGAACAGGGTAAAAGGGGGCTAACAAAGTATGCAGAGAAACAGATGGACTACAGTCTGTAACTGTAGAACTACAAAGTGCACCTATACAGTAAGTGGAGCTGATAAAATGGACAGTGAGTGTAGAAACAAGGAGGTGGTCATAATGTTATGTCTGATCGTTGTATGTCTGTAACAGAATTGTGGGATCTAATTCTGATTTCCTTTTAATTTCCTTCCAGTCCTCTTTAGGTGCACTTCTCATAGCAGTGTTCAAGTCTTGAAGGCTGACGATAATGCTGGTAATGCATGAGTCTTTCTGTTTGTGCCTGCAGAGATCTAAAGTTGGATAACGTGATGTTGGACTCGGAGGGCCATATTAAGATCGCAGACTTTGGCATGTGCAAGGAGAACATGTTTGATGGTGTCACCACAAAAACCTTCTGTGGAACTCCAGACTACATTGCCCCTGAGGTGGGTGGATGGGTGCTTGTTTTCAAGTGGTTTTCAAGGTAGAAATGTTCTGATATTCTAGGTAAACCACAGTAAAACAGGGCTAATCAACAACATGGTGTTGTTTAAAGGTCCCATATCATGGACAAGCAAATTCCCCCCACCTTTTTAAGTTTTGAGTTTGAAGCAATATTTAAACATTAAACATTGTTTAAGGTTCAAAACATGCCATACATTCTGTACATGGAAACTAAACTACAAAAACAGCCCATTTTGAATTCATTGTTTCTGGGGTGTCACCAGAACCAGCTCATTTACGTAGATCCACCTATTCAGCCTATGGCAATTTAGCCCCGCCCATTCACACTGAAGTTATAAGGAATGTTTCAGCTCAAATTGCTTTTTGGATGAAGCACAAGACAGGGCAGCCAATCAGAGCAGAGGTCATTTAGAGGCACAGTAACACAAACAGCCTGTTTAATTCTAAAGCATAAAGAGAGGTTGAAAAATAGTCTTGTGCAAATGAAATATGACTGGTTTTTGTGCATAAAACTACACAAATAAAAGAAAAATGAAGGATATGGGCCCTTCAACAAAAACTCCATGCTTCATTTTTTTTAACATATAGGGACACTAGGAGAGACAGAGGAAGAGAGATATTCTGACTGTCTTCTATTTCAGATCATTGCTTATCAGCCCTATGGGAAGTCGGTTGACTGGTGGGCCTATGGAGTTCTACTTTATGAAATGTTAGCAGGACAGGTAATGTTGAATGCTAAAACAATGTAAATTTTATATATATGTACTATACAGTGATTATACACTCATACATAAATTATTTTCATTATCATTTTTCCCATAAATGCTTGCTTGTACTTGTCATTAGAATATTGGCCTCATTATTTTTTTTTATTCTTATAGCCCCCATTTGATGGTGAAGATGAAGATGAGCTTTTCCAGTCCATCATGGAGCACCATGTATCCTACCCTAAATCCATGTCTAAAGAGGCAGTGGCCATATGCAAGGGTGTAGGTGTACACGCACACATGCATGCATGTTTTGTTAACCTTTACACACTAAACAGTAATGTTGGGTCAATCCATGTGAAATCGAAGAAGTCCTGCTGACTGACCATCTCAGATTTGATTGATACTTATAATGCCATTGTGTCCAGTAGATAGTGTGCAAAAATCTGTGTGCAAAAAAAGGCCTGATTCTGAGATATAGGCTTTAAAACTTGGGTGTACTCTTATTTTTGCCATATAATTTGTGTGGGGAAAAAAGTGCAAACTTTAATATTATTATATTTTTTTTAGTAGATGGAATTTTCAGCAGATACAGTTTGATTTAAAAACCCAGTAGTCCTTTTGGTAATTTATTTAGAAATACCCAATCACAGTAAACATTATTTAAAATGTCTTTCACTATCTCTGCCTTTATGCTTTATTAAAAATGAATTTGGCTGATCCTGTTTGAAATTGTAGAAACTAGCCTCTAAAACGGTCCAAAAATCTTCATAAATAAAAAATAAAGCTTACAGAGCTGTTTCTGAATAAAAAAGTCTGGCATGTTTAGGTGAGGTTGGGACTTGTCAAGTTTATTAGTGCATCTTGTTTGCACTGTTCTGCTCTGCTTCACAATAAAAGTCATGCAGTTAGCTTTCACATAGCACACGCAAATTACAAACAACGACATTCACAAATAATCTATATAGAGGAAATGTATGCTTTATATGCACTGTGAGTTATTAATATTGTTCTCTTAGATACATGAGTACCGCCAGTAACATAATTCCTATTAACTCAGTAACTATAACATTGTATGCAAAAGTTTGAACATCTCCAGTCAAATTATTATTTTTTTTTTTCTAAATAGAAATGAAGTTGAATTTCAGCTGGACTAGTTACCAGATTAGGACCGGTAATGTTAATTATAAGTGACTCAACTGGATTCATATGGTATAAAGTATCTTTATAATTTCCACAGATTTCCTTTAGACAGTCTAGATCAAAACATTATAGCCTAGACATTTACTCCTGCTTTACGATTAGAATTAAATGGATCCAAACAAACAACAAAAACAAATTCTAGTTATTACCAGATAAGACAGAGTTAGGCTATTTAAATGAGATAAATCAACTTTATAAATGCTGCCCAACAGGATAGGAGGAGCTCAGAGTTTGTCTGTTTATTTGATGAGTTTAATATATTGGAAAAAATAAATAATTTTTCCGTTTAAATTTTTTCCCAATATGTAAAATCCAGCAAATAAACAGTAATTGTTCTCTGTAGAGGATGTGTAAACTTATATTCACCAAAATAACATAATTTGACCAAACATATGCATATAACTGTAATGCATTGTACTACTTAATAACAGGAAAAGGTGATCATATTACTGTAACATGTTACATTGTACTGCGTACCCACCCACACTTGTCCTATTTGACCGGCTATTTTGTGTCTTTTAGTTGATGACCAAGCACCCAGGGAAGCGTTTGGGCTGCGGTCCAGAGGGGGAGCGAGATATTAAGGAACACGCGTTCTTCCGTTACATGGATTGGGAGAAACTGCAGAACAAAGAGGTTCAACCACCATTCAAACCCAAAGCAGTAAGTAATAGTCTACCTTCTGGCGTGTGTCTGTATGCATTTGTGCGACTTTGTATGTGTGCTTGTGTGTGTTTTTTTAATATGTCCTCTATTCTTTTCTATCTTTGACAAGAGCTTGAAGTAATCATAAACTTAACTAAGAAGTAAATGCACTACTTCCTCTAAATAACTGCTTCCCCATCCCCCCGAAGCAGAAACATGTCATGCAGTATTATGTTTCAGGAATGATAAATAGGGTGGACAGAGAGGTTTAGCACAAGGCAAGTCCAGGCGAATCACACGCCAGCTCTTCTGCAGCGGACATAGTCTTGTAAAATATCATTACGTGCTGTAAATAATTGTATGCCTAGACTGAGCTGTATGCACTAAATATCATTTTGTGATTCCAGTGCTGCATATTGCGATAGTCCATCTGATACACTGAAAATACTTTGGAATCCTTCATTTGGTTACATATTGGCCTGTGTTATTTAGACTGAAATCAAGAAACACACATCAGGAACATCTTATGCTAGATTACATGATGTGGCATCATACAAATACACATATTAAACAGCAAGTCCCAGGGAACACAGTGCAAACTAGAAAAGTGCAAGTGATTGTGCAGCTTAAGCAGTTAATTGATGGTTGCTAAGTTGCTCCCAAATGGTTACTATGGTATTGTAGGTGGATGCTAAGGTGTTCCAAGTGGTTGCTATGTGGCTGCTATGGTGTCCCAAGTAGTTGCTAGGGTGTTGCTACGGTATCGCTTTTGGTTGCTATAGGGTTGCTGTGTCGTCGGCACCCCATATGGTTAATAGGGTGTTGTTAATGGGTTTGTATAATCGTGACCAAACTTGGGCTCCTCATTCATTCCTATTGGGAAAAAAATAACAATTTAACAATGATCAAAAAGCTGTATTCAACTACACCATTCCCGATCAGACAGAACATTGGAGTTGGAACAGTGTCAGTATCTCGAAAACTGCGGGACGGGTTAGCGGAAAAACATCTGGGAACAGTAGTGTTGCAATCAACTGTTGTCACTAGTCATTTAACAATGTTTACATGATACTAAACTGATTGTTATATAAAAACGTCCAGCAAAGTTTGAATGAAAAAACCAAGAAAGAAATGTGATAAGACTATTTCTAATATTTCTAGAATCGGTAGTCTGATGGGCGTGCGTAAATGACTTGCAACGTCTTCCCAGCCTGCTATGTCACAGAAAAAGAACTAAACACAAAAAGACTTTACGATTTAGCAGATTTTATAATTCATCTTGAAAAACACTCTGTGATCATGGCTCCCTAAAAAAATTGGGCCTCATCCACCAATATCTTCCAAGTTTTTTCTTAAATTTGTTCTTGAGAAAGGTCCACAGAAAAAGTTTACGTCAGATTTATGACGTGTTCTTAAACCGCAGAACTGTTCACACATTTGTGCTCTTGAGTGTGTGTAGATTCTGTTCTTACCTAAGAACAAATCCCAGATAAGAAAACACTGGTGAAACTCAGAACTGCAGAAGTGGATTTTAAGAAGAAATTCATTAAGAATGGCTGGTGAATGAGGCCCATTGTCCGGCGTTTCTGTGGCAAGATCTTAACCCCTTTTCACAGTGATTTGGAGGCAAGTCATGTATGTATAAACTATCTGATGAGTCGATTTCCATTCCCACACTGGAATGGCCACTCGGAGGCCTGCAGAAATGTGGTTAAAAACTATCTAAACAAAACTAACCTACTTATCAAGAAAACGCAGGCTCAAGTTTCCTGGGTCTTTAACATTTTTCATCAGAATAAAAGCAGCTAGCAGATACAGGCATTTACTCCATTGCACTCCAGCCCTGCACAGCACAGCACAATTGCCTAATCGCAATTATTTGAGATGATCACAATTTTTTAAACTAACAGCAGTCATTTTCCACAGACATTAGATTTCACAGTTACATTATGCTGCAACAAACAAAACGTGAATTGAGTGTGTTGGGTTGAGACAAATACTTGTCAATAAAAGAAACTTTCATTGCGACAACAGAAGTTCTAACTTCAAACTTGGTGCTAAAATGTCTAGAGGGCAGCGCTGCTACTAAGTAAACATAGCTAAGCAACTAAAGTGGCTAATCAGATAATTTTGCTACTTTAGGCTTGTATTTTAATTATTTCAAGCAATGTAAAAACTATTAAATCATTAATCGTGATTATATTGCAATTAATCGCCAGCTAGAATTTAATGATCGTGACAGCCCTATTGCACTCTCTTATGTAACTTCCTTGATAATGTCCGAAGAGCAATGAAGCAAGAGGAGCATGTTCAAATTAGAGGTCTGCATGTTACCATTTTTCCACTCCTGCCCAAAATGAAAAGTTAGATTAACACTTGACACATTGTAACTGGCACAAGGATGCACGTGCCAATAATGACGCGATTGCAGCGGTACGAAACCCCATGGTGGCCCCACACAGTGTTGCGGCACAGGGTCGTGATGTCCCAGTTTTTGTAGCTTGGCACTCACCCTACGCATACTGCTTCATTCAAACAACTGAATTTGAAAGGAGATCTGCTGAGCAGGTTCACCTCTACAGGTGCTTATATGATACTTCTATCAGATCACGTCATGGAAGCACTAACTGCGGGTCGATTTTAGGTCTGCACGCCATGCTCCCATAAATCAAACTCACTCACTTCAGAAAGAGGTCTGTGAAAATCCTGTGATATAAGCAGGAACAAGGTGCTCAACAACACAGAAGAGTAGATAATCTTGGATCTCACATTACACGACTCAGGAACGTTGAGTCATTACAATCGAACGTTTGATTATATTGGAGGGTATCCGATCGGAAGGCTGAAGATTGACTCATTTCTTCTCTCACACTACCAGATCATTCGCGCCATCACTTCCGATCGAGCTCCTGACCTGGAAAATCACTTCAGACTGTGAAAAAAGGAGCAAATCTGGCTAAAATTTGGTAGCGTAAGCACAGCCATAGGAGTTGGGCACAACTCTATTATACCAAGCCCTGTGGGTACAATGTCAAATTGTTAGCCCTATCAACGGGAGATCATGAGTTCAATTCCCGGCGATGCCACAGTTATCCGAGGCCTTCCGAGACCATAACTGGCCTTGTTTTCTCTGGGTGGGCGTAACTGGCCTCCCTCAGTATCCTTCAGTGCGGTGCTAACATGATTTGCAGTTAGCATTCTCCTCCAAGCGTTTTGAGAAAAAAAAAAATTAACAAAAGCTCCACACTCCATACAGCCCATTTATGGAAAATGATAGTCACAACCATTAACATGTTTACATACAGCTCTGTGCAATATGTTGGAACCCCCTGGTCAAACATGTTTTGCTGAAAATAAGTTAACACATCCTCTACAGAGAACACATTACTGCACATTTTAATGCACAGTTACTGTTTATTTGTTCAATTTAATATATTGGAGAAAACCATTTTCACAAGTATGTTTGAAGCAAATAAAACTGTGCACTAAAATTTGCAGTAAAAATGCCATATTTAAGTTTATTCTGTGTAGATGATGTGTCTTGTTTTCACTTAGAAAATCAACAAAACCTTATTTGAGCGGGTGTGTTCAAACCTTTGCTTACAGCTGTATGACCGCCCATTCAAGGTGAACTGATGAGGTGCCACTGCAGACAGTCCATATAAGAGTTATTGGATGGGCAGTTGCAGAGAAAATAAACGTTGAGTTGTTCCTGGCTGTCGGGAAGCAAACGTATCCTTGCAGGATCCACACACCCACAAGTAAAAGGGTTCAAGTTTACTTTTTCGATGATGTCCCTGAGGATTAACAGTTTGTTCCATGTCCAATCTTAAAGCAACACAGTAACAATGCCTGTAAAAATACAACATACAAAAAAAAAAAAACATACAACCACACAAATGTTGGATATGAGAACTTTAAAGGTGCTGTAACAAAAACATCCTGTTTCATTCTAAGGGATAACGTAAGAATGACTTGGTAGAATGAATCATGTAAGAATTATGAGTGTTTATGTTTCATAAATCCAAAGAAACATTATACTTAAACTTCAGGGAATAAAATAAGATAAATAAAAAATGGAGAATATGGCCTGAAAAGAGCTGTCACATAATTAAAGATAAGGGTATAAATGCCCCATAGTACACCGTCATAGCACAAACTCAGTTTGACTTATACAAAGAAGACTAGCGGCAGATATAATGTGGCAGGCAGAGTGTTATGTGAGGGCCGTAAGTAATCCTCTGCTTTGCATAGGCAGTTTGCAAGCCAAACAGTTACAACCACAATCCCTGCAATTTGGTTAGTTTGTTCAGATACTGACAGGCTTACTGTCCTTTCCTCGAGAACTATTCATATCCTATATTAGCAACATAGAAAAGGCATCAAGTTGACATTGTATGTCTTTAAAAGTAAAGAGTATGTTTCTCCACTTACTTATTTAGGCTTTTCTTTTCATTGGTCACCCACCTATGTGGTTAATATGTTTTTATTGTGACAACATATCAAATGATTAATTCTGTGTGAATTTACTACTTCTAGTTGTAATTTGGTCAGATGTATAAGTCTAATAATGCTAGTCTGGGTACAACACAGTGTTATTTCGGTAAGGCTTGATGTCATCTCAAAGGCACTAACGCTCAATATATACCAATGAGCCAAAACTAAAAAGCTGTAGGTCCTCCGTGTGCTGCGGCTCCGACCCACTGAGGCATGGACTCTTAAAGTGTCGGATGGTATTTGGCACCAAGATGTTAGCAGCAGATCCTTTAAGTCCTGTAAGTTGCGAGTTGAACCTGCTGCAGATCGGACTTGTTCCAGTACATCCCACAGATGCTTGATCAGATTGAGATCTGGGGAATTTGGTGGCCAGGGCAACACCTACAGCTGTTCGCCATGTTCTTCAAACCATTCCCAAACAATGTGTGCAGTGTGGTAGAACGCATTATCCTGCTGAAACACGCCACTACCATCAGGGAATAGCCTTGCAACGAGGGGTGTACTTGGTATACAATGATGTTTAGGTAGGTGGCACCTGTCAAATTTACATCGTGAACCCGCAGACCCAGGGCTTCCCAGCAAAACATTGCCCAGAGCATCACACTCTCTCCATTGACTTATCTTCTTCCCACAGTGTGACGGCTTTCAGCACTGCACATGGGTTAGCATGGCCACTCTGACCAGTCTTTGGCTACACAGCCCCATATGCGACAGGCTGCAATGCAGTGTGTGGGCACCCAATGAGCTGTTGCCAGTTCGTGGTTTGTCCCTTCTCCGTCAGTAGGTACTCGCAACTGCTGACTGGGAGCACCCCACAAGTCTTGCCGTTTCGGAGATGCTGTCATGTAGTTGTCTGACCTTTACAATTTGGCCCTTGTCAGAGTTGCGCAGATCTTCACACCTGCCCGTTCCTCCCATGTTCAAACATACTGACTACGAGAACCGGCTGTTCACTTAGTGTATAATATATCCCAGACCTTAATGTGTCATTGTTAGGATATAATCAGTGTCATTTGATTTATTTGTGAGTGGTCATAATGTTTTGGTTCATCTGTGTATTCTATGTTCTTTACCTTGTACTCGAGGTATGTACCTAGTGTTCCGTACAAGTAAGGCACTTCCTTCTTAAATGTATGATACCATTAAACTATGCCTTCATACTCATATTATTTCCCGAAATCAAAGACACAGAGGTAAGTTGTTTTGATCATGTTTGACCTACAAAACATCTCTCCAGTGTTGGGGAGCAGCTGAATTTCTATTATTAGTGTAGACTGTTAGATTTAAGAGGACAAACTTGCCATTTTTATATGGGTCAGCTACTCCTGCACAGCATGAACAGGCACATGGCTGACTATTATCACCTTGATAGATGAGGAAGCTTCTCTGTAGTTAGCCTTGAAAGTAAAGAAGGTAAAGTAGTCAGGGGCACATGATATATCTGTGGTTATGGTTATATGATAATATTATTTGTCAGTAAATTGAACAATTATTATCAATATTGGAATTACAGCTGGTGAAGATTAAAACTGAAACTTGCCACCCTATTTTTTGCTCACACGTGCACTGATGCACATATGGTCACCGGTGGCAGGCATTTCCGTATTCCTACTGAGGTGGGTAGTGTAGTGGATAACACCACAGCCCCTCAAACAGACAAGATCAGATATTTAAGCCACTGCTTTACCAGTGAGTCCTTGGGCAAAACTCTTAACACTACATTCCTCTAGCTGTAGTAGTATCCCAGCGTCATCCAAACGTTCTGCTCTTCTGGAATACAACAAATCCTTCATCATATAACAGATTATCAGTTAGATGTAATCACCACCAACTCCTGTATGACTCTGGTATCGTCTTGCATCCCAAATCCATTATTTTAAAAAAGCGTTCTTTGAATGATGCCAAAGAAGAACCACTTTTTATAAATGAGATGTCTAAATCTGAAAACCCTAACAGTTTTAAAAGGACCTCCGCATAATGTTAAGGTTCGATACCAATTTAAGGTTTCTTCCTAGACCTGTAAAGGTTCTTGACTTGTAAAGATTCTTCACATTCACACATCAAGTAAAATTTAGGGCTGCAACAAGTATCTATTTTTATAATAAGTTAGTCTATTATGACTTTAATTGATTGATAGTTGGGGAATGCAAACCAGCAGATATTCATCTGGCAATAATGTTTCATTTAACTATTTAAAAAATACAAGGATTATTCTTAATAATTAAAAACGTAGCCCATGAATCTTCTTATTCATATTCTCCAAAAGATGCTTTTATTAAGGGCATATGAACATATTTTCGGATGTAAACGTCATCAAGCCATCTAATCAATAACATGATTCATTGCCAACAATTTTTCATTATCAACGTTATTGATACTGTAGTTTTGTCATTGCAGCCCTAGTAAAATCATTGATTATTGGTGTCGGCAGTGGCCACAGCAAAGTGCTAATTATTGGTTATTTTCAGCTTACAGATTCTATAGTCCCTGTCTAAAAGTAATAAAAGTACATCTTTCTTCTCCCTCATTGCTACTTAGGCACTTCCAGTGAGGAATGTTATAGTTAATCCAGTTTTGGAACAGCCTCCCCAACACTGCAGCTCACTCACAAACTCTCAGCCCAGCTCGCTTATGAATTTGGATGCCTTCCACATCTTATGAAACAAATGTTTTCCTCAACATTTGTTGATTCACATGTTTTCAGTTGAAGAATATGTGATTTCTGGAGGATTTTATGGGATTAAAACATTAGAAGATTACACGCATGTTGACTCTTTTTGATAATCCAACCCACGACTGTTATTCCTGTCTAGAAAACATTAGGTTTCACTGTATGTGAGGAATTTTCCGAGAATATTGTAATGTTTTAATCCCTCTTTCAGTTGGTTTTTCTCATGATTGCTCTGTTGTTTTTGTCATGTTTTATCACACTTTTGTTGTAATTTTTTTAACTGCTTATTATTTTAACCTCCATCCTCCCATCATCCCACTCCTCTCTTCTCTCGTCCTCTCCACAGTGCGGTCGGGATGCAGAGAACTTTGACCGTTTTTTCACCCGTCATCCTCCAGTCCTGACCCCTCCCGACCAGGAAGTGCTTGTTAACTTGGACCAGGAAGAGTTCCAGGGTTTCTCTTACGTTAACCCAGAATTCACAGCTCAGGAATCCAAGTAGCCGATAGCGGCACTTAACATGGGGACCAATCAGATTGGAGAGTTTGAAATGACTGAGGCAGAATGAGCCAAGCACAAGAGAAAGTACAGAGTGGTACTAAATCAGATTTTTATCAGTGGACCTAGTGTGTACCTTTGCATTTGTTTCATACCATTCATGTTGATTAATCATTAAAAATAAACGTTTTAAACACGCACACACATAAATTGGCCATCCGGTTTTGAGTGGAAATCAGTGGAATGAAGATGACAACAAATGAGTTTAAGATTATATGGCTTTTCATTATTCAGACTCAAACACTTTCACAACATTAAAGTTCTAAAATTGAGAATTTCTCAACACCATCACGACATTATGATGCCTTGACTACATAAGAAATGTACATTATTTTTAATCATTTTTATTCCATTAATCAGTACTGTAATGTAAACATTGTCTGGAATTTTCTGGGGACAAAATGTCACAAGTAACCACAAAAAACTTCACAGGTCAAACCAATAGTCTCAGTTGTTTCTCAAACTTACTTGAGATGCATCGCTGTTCAAAGGTTTGGAATCAACCTTTAAATATCCATATTTTATACAATATCCACAATTCATCATATTGTAGAATTGGAGATCAAATCTCAATGGCAGATAACTTATATCTACCTTATATCTACCCATCTATCTCCAAAATGGTAACTTTACGGGAGAAGGAAAAAAACCTACTTTACTTTTAATGTAAGTCAGTGGAACCAGACTTTTTTCCAAGTAAATTTATCATTTAGTAACTTCTTGAAATTCCTGTAATACTGGATAATAAATCGATATTTAGTAATTCAATACATTTTGCCGAATAGTTTGTAATGACTGAACTGAGCTGAAATACAAATGTTTGTAGTTTCATGATAGTACATTCTCACAGCAGGTTAATCTATCGGTGGGTGCATGTTTTATCTATGAATGTGAAATCTTTTGTTTCTGGCTGTTTGTCAATTCTTTTTGCTACATTTTGGTTTTATGTAGTATTTTGACATTTCTAGCAATCCTATGAATGAGTAACTTCTGCTTACAGTATGTGAAGCTACACCAATAGCATTAGTTAACATAACATTATAATAAAGTTTATATATATATATATATATATATATATATATATATATATATATATATAGCCAAAATATTAACTGAAATACATGTCATGTTAGTACATTCTCACAGCAGGTTCATCTATTGGAGGAAGCACGTTGTATGAATGAATGTGTAATTTTTCAGTCTGTTTCAGTCAATTATTTTTGCTAAATTTTGGTGGGGGGGGGGTTGTATTATTTCAACAATTTCTAGCAAACCCATCAATAATATCTGCTTGCGGTATGCTAAGCTACACCAAGGGCTTCACTAAAAAGCAAAAATGTTATGATTTCCCCAATGGAATATGCACAATTCATCATATTTCAACTGGAGATCAAATCTTAAAGCTGATAACTTGACAAAACATTTGATGTTAATCATTTAATAGAATATTTTTTGGCGAATGGCTTGTAGTATGTAAATCCACATTGAATAAGTTGTTATATAAAATAACACGGAAAATGATTCCAAACTTTTGAACAGTAGCGCTGCCACACATACCATGCGGCATTCATGAAGCATTTAATGTTATTGACCAGGTTGTTCACTGGGTCAGCCAGTTCCCTCTCCTTCTTTAGATGGACACTATTGGTGTGGGTGCAAAACTATGCTACTGCTACACATAACTGTGCCAAATCAAAGCTCAGAGCTGAACGTTTTAGGGTTTGGTCGTATTTGATGGAGTCATGTTGTCATGCAATGTGGTGTGAATATTAAACATCATGCATGAACTCGCATCCACACTGCATCTGAGAACAGTCAGTTATTTAACTGGAAATACATCCGTACCAGAGACTTTGAAACTTTATATCCATTCCAAAAGTGGTATTATTACTGATATTATAAAGAAGAGAACATATCCTTTCGTGATTATCCCGCCAAATCTGTGGTGTATGACTTTGTTTAAACCGATTTCAGTGCCCTCCAGTATTTGGAAGAGATTTAATGCGATTAACTGTGGACAGACTGTTTCTACACAAGGAAATTTCAATATATATATTTGAAATATATTAATAACATTTTAGTGTCTTCTTTTTTCACATACACACAAATGCACAGTGGGGAAAAATGGGGAAAATATTTGGTCATCTAGCGCATATTCATACAGCTGTGATGACTATATTATGAATACATATTTTTTATTGAGCTTTCATAGTCCTTTCTAAATGGGCCAGGCTACACAAAGTACATTTTTGGTTTTGAAAAGGTTCTCCTGTATGCTCACAATCCTTTAGACTCAAAGACTGCTAATATTAAAAATTTACAGTACAGCAAAAATTTTCACTGTCAAGAAAGAAGCTGAAAGCAGATGACAAAAATTACATGAAGGCCTTCAATGTTAAGTACAATATAAAATGTTTGAGGATTTAGTGTGTCCTATGGAGAGGAATTTGTGTCAAATTGAAAAATAAGCCCTCTATTACATTGTTTTCACATCTCTTGGCCACTTTAGTAAAAAGAAATTCATGAGGATTTGCATTAAAACAAAATGCTGAATTCATAGAATTGAATTCAATCCACTTTACAATGTATTGCATGCATGGCTATACTGCTTTCCAGTGAGCAGTACATTAAACTGGATTTTGTAAATTTGAAGTGGATATAGGCACCAGACGTATATTAAATAATTCAGTTTCTGAATACTTGTTTCCCATCAATGTATTATATATCACTGTATTATATATCATATCACATAACAAACCTGTGGATGATACTTTACTTGTTGCGTTTGCAGGCCAACTTCAAGTCATCTAAAACTTTAAACTTTATTTTAAATTAATTCCACTCTAAGTCACGTTGGGCCTGACAAGTCACATCATGGATTTTCATGGAAAGAAAAAATCAAACAAAACCTTCCATCATGCATCACAAAATTTTGAAGCTGTGCTCCAAATTATTTAGTGATGAATTTTTGAAGTTTGTCCCAGTAGCTTCTAAATTGCATCTTAAATACTGAGTTTAACTCTTTTCAGAATGACTGTGATAAAATATTAATATGTCACTTCAAACCAAATTAACCAAATGTTCTCACAATAGGTTAATTTATTAGAGGTGCACTTTTGTCAAAATAGACATCTTTCAAATTGGAAATGTAATGTTTCACTCTGTTTCGATTAATGATTTTTGTTTTTATTCAGTGTTGCTACATTTCTACCAAACAATGACATTCATGTCTGTTACCAATATATGAAGTTACACTATGAGCTCAAAACTGCTTCACTACAAACTCAAAATCGGACTCAGATCCTATATTTTCCCCAAAGTAGCAAATGTATGCACATGTAGACGTGCCAACATATACACACACTGTTACTCACTGTTGAAGCAGCAATTTTATTTTGTTAAAACTTGTGTGCTGCTACGAGTTTACCTTCAAGTTGACCTGTAAAGCCTTAAATAATTTAAAAAGTCAGGTGTGGGGACGGATTTTAAGGGAGTTTTTCAAATCACATCGTACATCAGGGGTGCACAACTCTGGTCCTGGAGGGCCGGTGTCCAGCAGAGTTTGGTAGTTTCCCTACTCAAACACACCAATTAACAGATTAACAGATGAGTGTAATCAGGTGTGTTTGAGCAGGTAAATCATCAAACTTTGCTGGACACCGGCCCTCCAGGACCAGAGTTGTGCACCCCTGTCATACATCTTTACGCATTAACGTCACACGCACAGCCTCAAAAATAAGGTCTGACTCAGTGTTTAGGTCTCAAGTGTAAAATCAACCTTACACTGATGAAATATGATGACCAGAGTAGATAATTCACTCACACCTTTAGAAGACACACCCTTCACCAAGTTTTGACTGAGCTCTCTTTGAATTCTCTTTTACCTGGTTCACAATCAGATTCATCCACTTGGGGAAGGGGTCCGAAGCACAACTAATGATACAAAATGTTCCTCCACATGTTGCGTGCAATTACACATTTCCAGCAGAGAGGTCTCCAAATCCACAAATGGTCCATAGTGCTGCTTTAATCGGAGAAGAATGCCCCTAAGGCAGGCTCACAAAACAAGACCATCTTCTGGGGGGTTATTTCTCAATGAACCTCTCAAAACACCTGATAACTTAAACCTAATGCAAAGATTGCTTAAAAAGAACAGCTCATCCCCGGTCAAACAGGCTTCACTTTGGACTTCTTAAGTTGTCTGAGAAATCCTGCTTTGTGAAATATCCTTCTGAGAACGGACCAATTAGAAAACGAAGTACAGTTGTGTGTGAAAGTTTTGGGCACCCTTGGGCATGGGGGTGGATGTATTATGCTTTGGGGTTTTGTCGGAGCCTGTGGGCTAGAGGGAAGAAAGGAGCCAAGGGGAGTCTTACAGAGCCCAGACTGTTTTTTTTTTCCCAATATTCAAAAAATTGTGCAATAAATTTTGCAGAAATATGTCAGATATAATTTTTTTCTATGCAGTGGAGTTGACTTCCTTTCACTTTCACACACAACTGTATACATCTGAGAGCAAACCCATATGAGAAATGCCATTTCAGTGCTGAGCTTATGGGAACATCATGATACAGTGGTTGTGTAGGCTCACAGGGACCAGGCACTCAAGTGACACTCCTCCCAAGTGCCCTCATTCCCACTGTGGGGAGAGGGTGAGGGAACCCCTCTGGGCCTCTAGAAGAAGGTAGGAATGAACGAGCGATCTATAAGCATTTCTGTCGTGCTGTTCCTGGTGTTCTGTGCTGCCTAGAACATGATCTGTCTTGTGTAATGTCCGAACTCTTGTGCTGACCTCATGAGGAGGAAAGGGTCAGACCAGTTATTTGTTACAGCTTGTGTTGTTTGTGACTTCTGCTTCTGGACCGTCAACTTCTAGTTTGTCAACATTCCGTTTTCCAGCTTCATTGTTGTGTCGTTTGTCATTCAGATACAGGCACATAGTCTCTTATCCTCAATCTATTGGTCTTTTCATCCTATTCTACCACGTAGCCCATTACTATTATTCCTGTTTGATCTTCTGCTTTTTGTACGTCAGAAACGTCTTTTGCAATCCCGGTACAGTGTTTTTGCCTTGAAGCTGATTCTGACTGTGGTGTAGCTGCTGTGATGAAATCTGTTGGTGTGCATGTAATCTGTGAGTGAGTGCATGTATTGATGTCCCCTTTATTCACAAGCCTGAAAGCCATCACTGACGATGCTACAACTGAACTTGTCAAAACATACACCGATCAGGCATAACATTATGACCACCTCCTTGTTTCTATGCTCATTGTCCATTTTATCAGCTC